TCGCCGCAGACGTCTGCTGCTGTCCCAGGGCGGTCAACCTGAATTTAAAAATATACATAGAATATTTTTTATAGATAATATATAATAATAAATATGATAATAATAATAAATATATAATTAATAATAACGATAAATAGATTAATGTTACGTACCTGTACGGATTATCCTCAATTGGTGATCTGTAGTATCCCATTAGATGCGCCTTCCGGTCCAGCGAGTGATATCCAGTCGACATTGCGTTGAAGCCTGTAATCAATTTGATTAATCAACATTTCAGTTCAATCAGTCAATTCCGATCAATCTGATCAATCAATACGTTGATCAGTCACCTACCCGGTCCAGCTTGACATTCCGTATCGTGTTTTTGCGGAGCTTGATTAAGCGGCGGTTGAGATGGCTGAATGAGTCTCAACGAGGAGCGTTGTACCCCATTCCTTACGCATAACGTCTCCCCGTCATCGCTTAGCGTTAACTGAGGTACCGGACCAGTATTATTGTTATTATTAATATTACTGCTACTCGGTGTGGTTGCGATCGTGTGATAGAGTGGACGTCCTTGCAGGCGCATTCCCTGAAATTATACATTAATATTATCTTAAATCTCGTTAAATCTCATTATATCCCCGTATATCTGCTTATATCACCTCATATATAAGCCTCAGACTACCCTATTACCAACAGAACAGAAACAGATCAATAGCGATAACATGAAAATGCGATCATACATACGTAAATCAATCTTGATCCGTTTGATCACTTTGATAAATCGACTTTGATCAATCGATTTTGATCAGTCAACACATATTCCATCATTTTTTTGAAAACAAAAAACTTCCGTCGCTGACCGGAATTGAACCCGTCGACCTACCAACTGAACGGCTGGCGTGTTCCCTCTGCGCTATGCTGACTCCGTCTGTTGCAGCCCTCTTACAATACACTATCCAACAACAATGCAGCTATATAACAACAATACAACATACAAAACACACACATACATACATACATACATATCCATAATATAATCGCGAACAGACTGAAAAATTTTTCAAGCAAATAAATAAACGACTCAGCCAGTATCAACTAATTTAACAACAGTAAACTGCCTAAAGCTTAAACCCAAATGTCACATAAAACTGAGTAAAATCGAGAGGAAATTAAGAAATCTCAAATCAAATCAAAAGACAATCCAAAATCTCCTTCTATTGCCTCCTCCCTCTGTCCTTCTACTCACATTCTAGACGAATAATAACGATATTAATAGCATGCAGCTGTTTCATATAATAATAATACTATCATCTACATATACAACGACTCGACTCGACTCGCTCATGCATCTGCTCTTACAATTAGAACATGCCTAACGCAATCACTACAACACACATCAATGGCAATGTCGTATGTCGGCTATGAGATATTTAGCTGCAATATACGACATTACTATGATACTATTGAGCTACAATACTCGATCAATTTGTAGTACAAGATAACAACAACAACAAAAACAATACACAATTATGTGATTGCAATGATCAAAGAGTGATCAAAATGATCAGAAAGTGATCAAAATGATCAGAACATGATCAACACAAACCAGTAAAAGACATGATACAATGAACCGTACAAAATGTCCACTTAACAACGATACTCTATGTCTGTCTGTCCAGATTGACCAGCAGCAGCATTACCACCTCTATTGCAGCACTATATTCGTTCGCATCATTTACCAGCCCACAAATCAAGCTACTACTATCAAGGACAACATCAAACAACCACATNACATGGTGCATGTGTTGCAGCTATATACCACCGCCCTCTCTAAAAGCTCACTGCCCTCTCTCTAATTCTCAAATCTCAAATAAACACCCCAAATTCTAGACTCACCACAAAAAACTCAATAATCCTCACTTAATCCAGCTAAAGTAATCACTTCACAGTAGATCATGTGAACTATATATATACTCATATGCTACTTCTACCCTTAAGTTCAGTCTCATTAAAGTAATCCTTTCTATAAACAATCAGCGACATATACACA